AACTTAAGTTCAGGGTGAGTTAACAGAAGAGTAGGAAGCCGAGCAAGGCGAGGGCAGTACAGGAGGAGCAGGGGACGAGTGTGCCATGGCTGGTGTCGGAGAAGACTAAGTGGAAGGCTGCCCCATGCTCTGTGTCCAGTAAACCTCAACCAGCTGAGATATTGATCCAGCAACTTCATACCTCTTGCCTATTTCACTGTTACCCTCCTCCATTTTGCTCAGTTTGGATTTCATGGTTCATCCCTAAAATCATGTTCCTACGTAATATTCAATTTACATGTCTCTCCCTCATGGTTTTCTAGGAAAACCTCAATTCTGGTTAAACCCAGTGTCCCTCCAGCTCCCTGCCTGCCCTGGAGCAGCTGGATGAGACAGGAGAGGAGCCCATAACCGAGCAGCATCCTGGCCCAGCAGTCCTGCACATTGGCATGGTCAAGGGCCATTTACTTGCCCATCAAACTGTCAGTATCATTACTCTCCTGCTCACTCTTAGCTGTTGGCCAGGCCCCTTTTCATTGAAAAAATAAAAGCAATCAACAGGGAATAGCTCAGAGACTTCAATATACTTCCCCGGGTGGCCATGAACACAAGATGAATGTCTCAGGTAGCACCTGTGCACCCCCCAACTTATCTGCAAAAGGACTTACCCTGCAATGATCCCCTTTCTCTGCATCATTACTGCCCCCTCGCTACTGGGTCATTCCCCATGGTCCCCACGCCTGTGGCTGCACTTCACACTTAGAAAACATCTTCCTTCAGCATTGACTCCATTTCTCTGTTCCTCTGAACAGTAGCACTGAGGGGCCACATTGTGTGGGACTTTTCTTGTTGTCCTACAACTGGTGATTAAGGCCAAAGATGGGGACGGAGAGGAGCATATTAAGGTGTGGCAGTATAAGACAGTGATGTCTCTGTGTCCCAACTATCACTTTACTTTCCCCTTCAGTTCCTAGTCTATTAAAAACAAAGAAGACAGAATCCCAGTGATTGAGTTTTCAGCCCAGTGGGGAGAGCGGTGTCTTTCTCTGCCCTGCCCTAATACCTGTGAGGAGGGACCCAGAAATTCACTTGTGACTACAACTTTGGGAGACGAGCGTCCCAGCTGGGTATCTGTCTCCCTCTGCCCATTTGAAAGGAGGAGTGGGGAACAGGAGGGAGGTCAGGGCAGAGATGAGGTTGGAGGGACAGCTATTATGTGTTCCTTTTTCTTGGAGATTTCTTTTTGGATTCCTCTATTCTCACACTCTAATCTGAACTTGTTGCTCTCTAAGTCTGCTGCATGGATGTATCCTGGGACATCCTCTTGTTGTTTTCCTGGGAATGTTCTTTACCACTTCCTTAGGTCCCCTGTCTCTTGTTTTGATGAAGTACATCCACCAACATCTGTCTCAGAAATAACAAATAGGTAGTAAATTGAGACTCTGTACATTGGAAATAATCTTTACTTTCACACTTGATTTGTTTTTTCCAGTCCAGAGTCTCCATGGTTCATCCTCCCTAGATGTCTACTTCTTTGGGCAATGGCAATCTACCAGCTGCGGGGGACAGAGTAAGGGTCTAGGAGGTTTCTTCTTCTTCCTTTTTTTTTTTTTTTACATTTTAAAAGGACAGGTTTATTAGGAGAAAGAGAAAGAAAAAGAGAGGTGGGCCTCCCCTGATGGCGCAGGCAGTTGAGCGCAGCGCTGTGAAGCTGTCTGCAGCCTCTGCAGTGCTGGTTTGATCCCTGCTGGCCGGCGAGGGTACCACATGGCACAGCAGACCTCTCCTGTCTCACCCGCTGCTCCCCTCAGCAGTGTATTTCATCAGTCTGCCTGTTCTGTTCCCCGCTCTGTCTCTGGTGAATCCTCTCGTCTATAGGCCGTGCATCTGGCCTGTACCCCGGTACTTGTGTAAATGAATAAATAAATCTTTAAAGTAAATAAATAAATATTTAAAAAAAAGAAAAACGAAAAAGAGAGGCACCTGCATGGTCACAGGTGGGCAGGAGAGAAAATCTTCTTATGAAGATTTTCACTCATTCCTGCTTTTGGTTCCTCCCAAATCTGTCCCTTCAGAATTACCTGCTACCTTCAATTCCCGAAACTTCCCAAAGTTCTTTGGCACAAGGAGCATTTCTTGCTCCTCCAGACTATAGGTACCTAACTGTCAAATTTCTTCAGGCTGCTAGGTCAGTTATCATTCATCCACCTGCTTTCGGGATTCCAAAATTTTGTTGACATCTGTCATATGCTCCCATTCCCTCTCCTATTCATTCTGTGTATAGATGTATGCGTTTAAAACCTTTTGTTGTCACTTTAGTGGAAATTCAAAGGGGAACGGAAATAAATGCAGCTATTCAGTCTCCATTCAGCTTAGAAGTCTCATTCTCTCAACTCACTCTAATCAGACTTTTAGCCCCATCATTTTGCTGAAACTGTTCTTATCAAGGTCAAAACCTTGCTTAATCCATTGTAAAATCTCTATCTTTATATTACTTGAATTCTCAATGGAATTTGATTCAATTAATCACCTTCTTCTTGCAGCACACTCTCCTGTCTTTCCTGCTACCTCTTAGCAGCAAAGAGGCTTCTTTTCTGGCTTCTCCTTTTTTTTCACCTCTAAATGTTGCAGTGCCTGAGGGCTCAGTCCTTTACCCCTATGTCCTCTTCTCTACTTGTATTTTTTGGGTGACATGCCATCTTGTGGGTTTAATTATCATCTACACTCCGTAACTTCCATATATAAATGTATGAAAATATATATAACATATTCAAGTCCAGTATCTGTAACACCTGCATCAGTAATATCTGTATCACTTGCATCAGCCCATTGTCTACCTGTCACTTGCAGTGGAAGTCCAAAAGAATCTCAAAATAGAGGGCCTCCCTGGTGGTGCAGGCAGTTGAGCACAGCACTGTGAAGCTGTCTGCAGCCTCTGCAGTGCCGGTTCGATCCCCGCCAGCCTCGGAGCAACCCAAATGGCGCAGCAGACCTCTTCTGTCTTGACTGCTGCTCCCCTCAGTCTGCCTGTTCTGTTCCCCGCTCTGTCTCTGGTGAATCCTCTCACCCTCCCGCAAATCTGGCCTGTACCCTGGTTCTTGTATAAATAAAATAAATCTTTAAAAAAATCTGAAAATAGAGCTTGGTTTTATCTCTCAAACCTGTTTCTATCTCATCTCCATCTCAGTATATTCACCTGAATTTTACTCAGGTTGAACACCCAAGAATTGTCCTTGATTATTCTATTTTTCTTATACCCGTATCAGTCTAACCACAGTTTATAGTGATTTCATCTTCAAAAATATATCCTGGTTGGACAATTCATCACTTCCACTTACAGGTCCAAATCACCCCCATGTCTCATTTGGACTCGTGTCTCTGGTCTTGTTGGCTGTCATTCTTGCTTTCCTTTCAAAACTGCAGTCTATTCTCCACATAGCAGCAAGAGTACTCTATGTAAAGAGCAAGTCAGCAGTGTCAACCCTAACTCAACTACCCAGTAGTGTCCATGATACTGTGAATGAAGCCCCTTATTTACCAAGGCCTATAGGCCAACACCAACTGACCTCCACCTCCGTCTCCATCTTCCTCTCATTCCGCTCTGGCCACACCACCCTTCTCTGGCCATCTGAGATAAACCCTTTTCTCTAGCAGTCTCCATCCCCTTAGTAAGCCACCTGCTTCTTAAAGTTCCTGGAGACAGCTCTCCCCAGTGGTGACCACAGGTGGGTTTGCCACAGGGAGAGACAGGAGGGAGAGTGATCACAAAGTCTTTAGGATTTTGCCTTGAGGGAGAGCTGTTAGTAGCCTCAAATCTCTGACCATGACCTGGCCCATGAAAGCTGTTAGCACCCTGGAGGATTCATTCAGTACCACATAGACTCTCAGCCATGATGGAGAGCAAGAGACTTGAGTCCATGGGCTGTGTGCTGTGCAATACTCTGTCCTGTGCTAGCTCAGAAATCCTAGGCCTGGCCCTGGGGGTATCTTTCTTGCTGTGCTACTGGGTCATTTAGTCTTTGGTGTAACCAAACCTTATTGTGCACATATTATGCTCCAGGTGCTGTTCTAGAAACTATGGGTACAAAGATGAAGATCACAAAGTCATTACTTTCATGGAATTTACATTCAGGTGGAGGAGTAAATATGATCTCAGACTAGATAATGAATCGTCATTCCATAGGTCAGTGATTGTCAAAGTGTGATCCATGGACCTCTGTGGAATTCTGAGATACATATAGGAGGTAAAAATTATTTTATAAAAATATTAAGATGCTATTTGCTTGTGCTGCTCTTTCGAGGCTGCTTGACAGGTGATGATGACATGGGAATGGTATGTGTGATATGGTAGATATTGGTAACTGCAACCCACAGTGCCACATAAATGAAAATTCTTGGGGGTCTTCAATAATTTTTAAGAGTATAAGGGGGTCCTAAGACCAACTAGTTTGAAAACCACTGTAATGGATAAAGAGTGGGGTGGTGGTGGGAGGTAGTTATTATGAGATCCGTGCAAAGAAATCGGTGCTATTCCAACGAGTATGCCTGTGGACACAGGGGTGGGAGCTGGTCACGTTCCCCAGGCCCTTGGGGAACCTGATCCCTAGGCATCTCCCTTGTAGTGGGACTATGAGCTGATGCCCAGCCTTAAGGGGCATTGTTCACTAGTGCCACTCACCACAAGTTTTTTCCTCTTTTTTTTGAACCCCAGGAAGACGCTTCCGAGGGTTTCACCTCTTATGCCTACTCTTACAAATATGAAACTCACATTAGGAGCCTACAAGTTCAGAGTTGGGACCATTTGTGACAGCTGTTATGAGAAGCAGGACACCCCAAGGCCTTGGTGTCCAGCCTCAGCCTATTCCTGTTGGTGTCGAGGGCATTGCATTGTCTGACTTGGTGTATCCTGGCAGAATCTCCAGAGGCAAAGGGCAAAGAGCTCAGGAAGCCAGATCACTCCCCAAATGAGTCACCGAGGCTCTTTGTGACATGGTGATGTCTCCTGGGCCACTCAGCAAATTGTTCCCCTCATGGAGCCTCCTCAGCTCGACAGTCTGTCAGTGCATTTGCTGGGAACCTGCTAGCCATGTGAATCGGTAGGCAATCCAGGCATTGAAGTAGCAGTTCCCAGGAGCTGAGGGCTAACTTACCTATCTATCAAATCCTGTCTCTCTGCTGACATCTGGAGAAACTAGGTGACACCCACACACCTGAGGCCTCGGCAGCAGCCCAATTAAAGGTTGTAGTTTTTCTTTAGTCACTTGCTAACCTTGAAGCTTGAGAGTGTGAATATTGGGCTTTGCTTCAGATCAAACCTCATGGATATTTCAAGGTCTAAGCATTTGGAAATTAACACAGGTGGAAGTTTTATTGGGTCACCTTTGGTATTGCTTGAGGTTGGTCCCTGGGCAGTGCCTGATCAGTGAGTCTCACTTATTTTCAAGGTGGAAGCAACCTGTCCAGAAAAACCCTGAACTTGCCACTGGATAAAGGTTTAAATGGGCTTTCTGCCAGAGAATTGCATTTGATAGTTGCGTGGGTGCAGCCCATGGCAGGAATCCACACAGCTCACAGGAGATCTGTGGGGCCCTGGGGTGTTGCAATGTCACTCTGTCTGGGTAAGTGACAGCCAGGATGTGGGATTTGGTGATTATTTTTGGTTTGGTTTGTTTCTAGCTCAGAAGAAAGACTATATATAACATTGAGAGAGGCATAACTTCTAGAATGTCAAGGTTGGTGCTAATAGTGAATGATATAGTAATATATGTTACACGGAACCACAAGCTTGCAAGAGCAATCCTCGCACACTAGATGAAAGGATAAATCTTCTGTTGTGTAATGGGAAAAGAAAGCTGGCAATGTAAATGCAGTCTTAATATTTTTTTCCAGCATTGCATGTGTAATTAGGCATTCAGTGACTTCCTCATCTAAGGAAATTTGACTTTAATGGGAGCTATGTGGCTAACTAGAGAAGAAGTCTTTTAAAAATGCAGGGGTGAGGGTGGGAAGGTATTAACTGTTAAGATGGATTATTTCCTTGGCCTTGAAACAAACAAAACAACCTGTTCTATTCCTCCCTCCTGCCCCCCTCCCCCAACCCCTTTCCAATCTGCAAGCATATAGACTATGTGGCTAGATATTAGACTCACATTCCAAGTATTTGAAATGAAGCAGGACCAGAATGGGTCAGATAACCTTCTAATCATATGTCATGTTTTAATCATTTAAGGTCCTCCTTCAAAAGGGTTTCTGCTTAATAAATGCAACTTCATTGGTGTCTGGAAATGGCACAGTTTAGTCAAAACCTTAGAAAATAAAGGTGTAATCTGGGGTCAATCCAAAATTTACCATTAGGAGAGAAAGTTTCAAGCAGAGTTTAACCAAAGCTGAAACAATAGAGGCACACCCTGTCTACTCCCCTCACCCCCGCCTCCAACCTCAGCACTTTCCAGACAATTATTGGGGCACAATAGGATGGTAGTGTCCTGACCAGGATGAGCACTAGATCTGACAGCACTAAAAGTGTTTGCTGGGTGCCAAGGAGGAAAGGGTTAAGAAATAAAAGCAGAAACTGAGTTTGAAGATTGGAGACTGTGGACAGTCCTCAAAGGTGACCATCACTCCCCAAGCACCAAGTGCTCTGTGGCTCATTGTCGGGGCAGGACAGCGCCACAGGGCAGGTTTTCTATGATCCCAGCAGATGGGTTAAGGGAGGAGTTAGAGTCCTAGAGCCCTCAGTGGCTTTTCAGGCTTTTATTGGGATTTACCGGGTACATGGCAAGTAGGGGTGCTGGGTGGCCGGGAGGTTGGCAGGCCTTCCAGCCCACAGCAGGTCTTCATTCTGGGCTCTCCGGCCTTCTCTCACATTCTCTCTGCTCTTCTCATGGCTCTGCTTCTCTCTCGGCTTCTCTGCTCTGCTGGTGTCCCTGTGACGCCGCCCTTAAAAGCCCAGTCTTAGCCCAGGTGAATCCCATCTACATATGCCCACACCCTACTCCAGGTGCCCGCCATCAGGCATGCATTCAGGACCGCAGGGTTCCGTCATCCATCCTAATGGCAGGAGGGCAGAAAAGCCTGATACTTTTTTTATCTTACCCTACACTCATCCTGGGGGCTCATTCCCAAGGGCATACTCTGATAGCAGCACAGAGCTCCCCTCATATCTTCAGATTAAATGCCACGGCCCCTACGTGGCCTCAAGACACAGGCCTTTACAATTAACCTGTTAAGGAAGGGAATTCTTTCTAATCAGTAGTAGTTAAATGTTTTAGAAGAAAATATAACCACTGTTCGTTCCTCTCCTGGCATTTTATAGAAAATATTTTGAATTGTCAAAAGGGGGCATCCTTGCTTTTCTAGACAAAAGAAATAATCCGACTTTGCTTTTTGAGAGACGTCTTGGTGGGAATCGCAGGAGGCTGCAGAGCTGGTGGGGATTCTAAACAGAACAGGTGTGCTTTTGAGGCTACCCCGGGGTGCAGACCTGGTGTGTTACCACCTCGCTCTATGAGGGTGGTCATGGGCCAGCAGCACCCAAGTCACTGTGACAAGCCTGGATCGCAGGCCCTGCCCCAGACCGGCTGGATCAGAAGCTGCGTTTCAGCAAGTCCTAATGGTCAGTGAGTGCCTTCAAGGCTGGGAAGTCCTGCGTCTTAGCTGTATTTCTCATGCTGCCCAGGAATTAGAATCACCTGGGGTGCTTGTTAAAAACAGATTCCTGGGCTTCCAATCCTGACATTCTGATCCAGAATTTCCAGTAGAGAAGCCCAGTAACCTTTATATTCAACAAATTTCCCGGGTGACACTAGCCATGACTGAAGCGTGAGGAACACTACAAGATACTTAATATTTTTGAAAGTACATAGTGATCTTTTAAAAAACTGCTTTCTCCAGAACACATCTTCCTTCTGAAAAGGCTCAGTCTCCCCTTTCCTTTCCACTCGTACTCTTGAAAATAGTGAGCTACAGAAGGGCAGGTGGGGATCGGAGAAGTGTCAGGAAAGGGCTGCCTGTCCCAGGGTAGCCCCAGAGGCTGGAGGAAGGAGCTGTGGGCGCGCCCTGACGCTGCAGGAACCGGGGTGCTGCCAGCAGAGGGCAGCAAAGCACGCCCTGCGGAGGGGACCGGCTTCGAGCGCCCGGCGGCCGGACGCGCGGGGGGAGGTGCCCCTCTGCAGCTCGCTGCGGCCACCTCCTGGAGCGCTGGATGGGCCACAGGTCTGGGCGAGCAGACGTGTGTTGGTCAAGTCAGTGGGGTCGCAGTAGACTCCGGCCGGATCTGACAGGTACAAGCAGAGTCTGAACCAGCACTGTCAATAGAAACAGAATGTGAGCCACACAGAGTATTTAAACTCTTCTAGAAGCCGCGCTTAAAAAATTTGAAAAGAGGGCCTCCCCGGTGGCGCAGCGGTAGAGCGCTGGGTTGCGAAGCTGCCCGCGGCCTCTGCGGCGCCGGTTCAATCCCCGGCTGCTCCCTGGCCACCGGAGGAGGGTCCCACATGGAGCGCAGACCTCTCCTGCCGCCTGCTGCTCCCCTCAGCAGTGTAAAAAATTTGAAAAGAAACGGGTGATATTAATTTTGACAGTAGATCTATTTTGCCAGATATAGCTAATGTCTGATCATTTTAACATGTCATCAATATGCTATATTGTATCAATGAGATCATTTGCAGTCTTTTTCTGTACTGACTTTTTGAAACCCGAGTGTGTTTTGTGGCTGTGATTCTGTCGGCCATGTCTCAAGTACTCAGTGGCCACACGTGGCAGTGGCTGCTGGACTGGATGGTGCAGCTCTGGGTGGTTGAAGAGCTGAGGGAGAATGAAGAAGCTGGAGGATTAGGATCTGTAATGGGGCAGGATTAGAACCCAGCCAAGGGACAGATTCCGGTATTTTGCATGTGAGGGGCCACATTTCAGCTCATTATTGAACACCTCCTGTATGCCAGGACTGGTTTGGAGGCTGGAGATAGGGAAACCCTCCAACACGATCCTTGACACTGAGGACCTGGGTGCTGACTAGTGGGGAGTCCACCAGGAAACAATCTCTCTGGTCTGAGTGGTGCTCAATAAGGCAGGTTTAGAAGCAGGTTGGGGTGAATCCAGAGACAAATCCTGTGACACCCTGGGGAGCAACACAGAATGACAATTAAGTCAGAGTTGGTTTTGTTTTGATTTTCCTCCTCATAATCATTTCCAGGTTTTCTCAGAAGTTGTTTGAAACACATATTTGTTTGGTCTGGAGAAAGAAAATCTGGCTGAGGTGAAAATCCCTGAGCTAGCTCTCAGGCTCCCTGAAAAAGGAAGCAAGTGTACCATCCGCTGGCTGCCACGCAGGAGCCCATCCAGGCGCTTCCTCCCCCCAACCTTATACCAAAGGTTGGACCCACCACATTCAAGGTCTCTTATTCCCCCAGCAGTGTCATTCTAGGTTAATGCTATTTTGGGAGTGTGCTTCTTCATTTCAGTGTGAATTTCCTCATCTTTCTGCACAAATTGAGTGAAATCCTTAGTGCATTTTTTTTCTTAGATGGATGGAAGCTAAAAGAGAATGGAAGGCCTCCAGCTGTTTGAGGCTCTGTCCTCAACGACAATCAAAATTCTCCATCTTTTCTTGTTCTTGGCACTTTCTGATTGAAATAAGATTCCAGCATTTATCTGCACCTGCAATTTTGACAAGAAAGGAAAATTTAAAAGACAAGTGAAAGAATTCTCTGAGGGAAGTCAATGAGTCGACAGTAGTCAGACGCCTGTGAATCTCTTTTTGCATTCCTCCGTCAATTAAGCTACAGTCACATATTGGAGAGCAGAACTTAAGTCTGTGAGTAGAAATGCAAAAATGTGCGTCGATCGGTAGCAGGAACCTTCCTTTGGAGCGAACACTACTTGGAGAGCAGCTGATGATCCATTTGGCATTGAAATGGAGGAGATTTTGAGTCAAAGAGGCCACTTTAAATTATAGATTTGAGTTTAGCTGAAGGTCAAACTTACCTTGCATGAATAAAATCTTCAGATTTTGGACTATACTCAGAAAATGCAGGCTATGAGCACATGAGCATTTCCTACAGGGAATAAGAGCTGTTTAATATTACTGCCCTCTGCATAATTATTGCTCATATGAGCAAAGCAGATACCAAGAGAGAAGGCAGAATTACAATCTGGTGCCCGTTTTGATTCTCAATAGCTACAACTATGAGTTTAGACAGGAAGTCGCCCAGAGGCCTGAGAGGAAGAGTGAGAGAAGTT